ATAAAGATAATGAACTTCAGAAGTCATGTGTGGCTCATGGCTGACCTCGGACATCTCTGGAAACATCTGAATCTTTTCAAATCAAACTAATTGGGAATCTATTAAATGCGATAACTTGCTTTTCTTAAATATTATATTTGATCTAATTGTTATTTCCTGCTGTAATCAAAGTTTCTCCTTCATACAAATCCCTTCTTCTGTCATTGAAATGTCCTGCAGTTACATCTGTCGCCACTAGATGGCGACCGCGTTCCTCAAACTGTCCTAGTTCTTACTATTCACACCATGGTACCCCAAACACACACACACACACACACACACACACACACAGAACATCTGAATAAAATTACAGCCGGCTTGAGTAACTTCCTGTGTGTCTGTGTGTGTGTGTGTATGTGTGTGTGTATGTGTGTGTCAGGGCCACACAAGGCTGAGCAGTCCAGCGTTACAGTCCTCGGAGAATAATTTGATACTGGAAACATAATTATCTGCGTGGTGCGTTGGGCTCTGAATCATATTAAAATCCATCACATGTACATTTAAAGTCCTCACAGGAGCAGAAAGACCCCATCAGGTTTATCTGACACTGACTCGCTGAGGTTTGCTTCACACATTCACATAGTTGCGGAGGCAGTACCGACATCTTCTACTTAAAGTTACCGTGAGGAACTTTTTAACTGGTTATGAAACAATATCCGTTTAATACTGGTGCCTCTGTATGACCTACATCAGTAAACCGGACCATCAGAGACACGATTGGCTGTTCCTCAACCTGACTGAGTAGTTTCCTGTGAAGGAGTTTAGTTTGAATTCGTAGGAAAACACGAAAAATGAGGAGTCGCTCTTTCGTAAGACGTCATACGAACCGTTCGAACTTGGAGCAGAGTGCTACTAGCTTACTTCAGGCGATCGGAACATTCGCTAATTTGATAACTAGCTAGAGATAAAGTAATTTACTCCCACCTTAAATTCATTGTGGAAGGTTGGAAGTAACCTACAACATAATTATGAGAAATACAATCTTGTGTAACTTGATTGAGTTTAATCTCAAAGACAGGAAGCTGAGCAGCATCAGGGCCGGCTCTGGGAGGAGGTGGAGAACTACGGGAGAACATGAGGCGAGAAAAAACTCAAAATATATAGAAGCAGAAGAAGAAGAGTTTCTGTATTTGTTGTGTGTTGTTTAGGTTCAATTTGTAGTTTGGTCGGGTTTTAAGGATCTATTTTTTGGACTTGGAGTGTCGGGTTGATGGGTTTTTGGTGATGATTGAAGGTGTGCAGTTTGGAGTTGGGGTTAGAGGCTTCTGTGTTTATTTCCAGGGTTTTTGGTTGTAAATGCGTTCGGTCTACAGAGCAAGGGTTGAGATTTAATTTGACGTTTAGGATTGAGGTTTATTTAGAGGGTGCAAGGTTTAGACTTTGGCTCATGGTTCAAGTGAAGACTTTGAGTTGAGGTTTGCTTTGTATATCGTTTGAAGCATAATGTCTCAAGGTGAAATTCCTAAAGTTTGAAAATCCTTGAAGCTCATACTTACATTTTGTGACATCTGTCATTATGCAGCGTAGCACATTTATCTCACTA